CGGCGCCCCCCTTGTCCTTCATTGGCTTTGTCCTGTATTCAAGTAAGATAAATTTGTTGATGTTGCAGTAACGTGACAATTTTGGACGGTGAGTGACGGAACACACGGCACATGATTATTTTTCGTTAATTTGGTTGCAAATTCAGAAATTCTCAAAACTGTAAAGTTAAGGGCCTTAAACTTTTAACTTTATAGTTTGAGGAAACCTAAGCTCAAGCTTATAATGTTCAGGGACCAATTTGGCATTTATTCCGAAAGATGCATGGTACTCCCATGTCACGTCAGAATTGATTAAAGAAGTAAAGAAGAACGCATCTTTTATTTCCTTCTTCTTTTTTTTTAATTGAAGGGTAGAAATGGAAAGGTCCGCTACGGCAAGGTGTTATTGAACCTGAGTTGAGGTTGTTTACTTATTGTAGGTTGTAGGTTGAATGTTCGAGTTTCACAAAATTTTTTTTTTCATTTCCCTAAATAATTATAATCTATTAAAAAAAATTGGAGGGTAGAAACGAAATAAATTTTGTTAATGAAAGGTAAGAGAACAAAATTGACCTGTCCGCTAATTTATGTTTGCATAAGCAGTGACATTACTAAGCTATAGGTCTATGAGGTCGGTGAAACTGCTACCGTTTGTATTTGTCACTTATTTAATTAAGGTTGGATGGATTTTGACCTTATTTTCTTTCTATAGTAGTGTTTTTTCAAGAATACTTAGTTGGCCCTAATTATGTAAGTTTAGGTATAAGATGTGTCATTTATTCTATCTAAAAATAAAAAAATAAAAATTTTTAGATATTTTTTCTTCTTTTCAACTATTGACTTTTAAAAGAATGGTTGAAAAGAACATCTATAAAATAAATTGTTTTAAATGATATTGCAAAACAGATGATGGAGTTTTGCAAAATAAATTACTAATTGCCTTAGATGCCTCCAAAAACTTTATAGCCACTCAAGTGTAACAAAAGTTACAATCTTAAATTAAATGCAATATCCTAAGATAATTAACTTAACCTAAAATATATAAAAGAAAATAATATGCCATGAAAATAAACTCGCAGATAACAGATTGTACAAGATTACAAACACTAATTTTAACTTCACGATTCATAACAATTAAATTAATTATTCATAGAATTAAAATAAAATTAATTGAACTACTTGACTGCTAAAACTTAAGGAGAATATATAAAATGATCGATGTCTGAAAACTTGTAAAATTAAATTTTAATCTAGAAATTAAAATTACACTAGCTATAAATCTGACAGTTGTGCAGAAATAAAGAAAAGAAGGTAGAAAACATTCAACTTATTTATATAAACAAATAACAAAGATGAATCCATAAAAGAAAGAAAAACCAACCAACTCAACGGGGCAAACATGTCTTCAAGGCTAATCTGCTTCCAAATCCTTAAAAACTAACCAAACTTGTGATGTTTGAGAGAAAATACGAACAAGGATGAGAAAAACCTAAACTAAAACTATGAACAAGAACAAATCTTGTATTATAATTTGGAAATTATGCTAAAATCTAAAAGAAACAATTTGAAAATTGGAAAAGCATACGCGCTGGATGGTTTTCTATAGGGCAGACCATGTAGAATTGATTTTTTCCTTCTATTTTCCTTTTTCTTCGATGCTGGAAACCTTCCTCCATGATTTTCGACCCTCCCCCACCATAAATGGATAGTGGGTGCTCCACATTTGAGTCAATTTTCTTTTATTTGGCAGTTGACAATTTTAATCTAATTTTAATTTTAATAAAACCCTAATATTAATCTTCTCCTAAAAACTACTAAATAAACCACCTTATTTTCTGCCACATAAGTTCAGTTCATCATAAATTCTGTTTGGGTTATAAAATTTTAAGTTGGCCCAGTCTAATTCAACCTGCTAACTCTCTTTAATAGTTGAGTCTAAATCTGACACGTGGCCTCACCCAATTAATTTTATTTTAAGTGTAAACAAGTAATTTTTAACAAGTGTAGTTTGTTAGAAAAACAGTGACATTACAAGCCAAGGCTGGTATCCACTGAGATTGTTTTGTAACTCAATTTTTAGGTATAAAATTTATTATTTAAAAAAATTATGAGATTTGAGTTTAATGTTTTAAA